TATAAGTCCACATCTCGAAAGCTTCTATGCGTTTTCGTAGATCTTCTTTAAGGGTCCATGCCTCACATCCATATAATACCAGGGGCCAGATATAACAATGGAGCAAACGAGTTCGTAAAGAGATGTTAATATTACGATTACAGAGGACTTTCTTCATCGAATTGAAGGCATTACGCGCTATTTCGATCCGAGTTTTTATCTCTAACTCGCTGCTCCAATCCTCATTCAGCCATGTGCCCAAATATTTATATTTCTTGACCCTTTCTAGGTTTTGGCCGGATACCCTTATGCTGGCATTGCAGTCTGCTTTTCCGGAGATGACCATAAATTTCGTCTTCTTTAAGTTCATCGAAAGACCGGCTCCCTGACTGCATTCCTCTAATCTCTCAACCATTATTTGAAGATCAGCTGATGTGGACGCTATTAAGACTGTGTCGTCCGCGTTACGAAGGTTATTAATATTACGGCCGTTGATCTTCACTCCACAGTCGAGGTCCAGCAACGCTTCCATTATTATAGCTTCAGAGTATATGTTGAAAAGAATAGGTGATAGAATACAGCCCTGTCTGACCCCTCTTTGGATAACAACTTCTTTGGTTTCATCCCGTCCCACTCTCACAGTGGCCACTTGACCACGATACAGGCCCTGAATAAATCTGTGATCTTTGTCATCGATAACTACTTCTTTTAATCTAGCAAATGATCATGAAGAACTCTGTCGAAAGCTTTTTAAAAATCGATAAAACAAAGATAAACGTCTTGCTGCATATCTCTGCATTTCTGAACCAAGACCTGTATAGCAAATAATGCTTCACGAGTGCCCACTCCGGATCTAAAACCAAATTGACTGTCACCAAGCTGTTCATCACATTTAATCCTAATGCGCTCGTGTATAATCGAGAGAAGTAGTTTTAAAACTTGGCTCATTAAACTAATTGTTCTAAAGTCCTAACACTTCTTTGCATTAGGTTTCTTTATGATCGTAATGAAGACGGCCTTTAGCCAGTCTTTAGGAATTTGGCCTGAATCATACACCAAGTTCAGAAGTTTCGCAAAGCCCGCCACGTTCTCGTCATCCAACAGTTTGAGCACCTCTATGTGAATGTTGTCCAGTCCTGAAGCCTTCCCGGGCTTTGCCCTAAATAATGCTTTCCTCACCTCATCCTTCAAAATAGGCAGACCGTCATCATTACTATAACTTTCATTCAAGGTTCTGGACTTGGTTTAAGTTTTTACTTTTTTATTATTATTACAATAAAAAAAGTTTAGTCAATGATGTAATTACCATTAGTATCTAAGACTTCTTGCCAACGATCCGGCAAAGTTTGGATGCCTTTTGCCCAGAACTCTGATGGCTGTGCCTTGAAAAAGTTGTTCAACTCCGCCTCTACGTCAGAGAAATCATTAAATTGTTTACCCCGCAAATGTTGTTTCAGGGCTCTAAACAAATGATAGTCTGATGGGGCGAGGGAATAAGGTGGGTGGGGTATCGTTTCCCAGCCCAAGTTCTCCAACTGCCGGCGAACCACAGATGCGACGTGAGATCGAGCGTTATCGTGCAGTAAAACTACATTGACTCGTCTTCGTCGTTTTTTCTTGATAGCGGCAGATAATTTGATAAGCTGGGTTGAATATTTGTCAGCGTTTATAGTTTCATTGTGTAATAGCTCATAAAACAGTATGCCTTGCGCATCCCAGAAACAGCAAAGCAGAATTTTTCGGCGGTTCTTTTGACTCGGCTTCGGTTGAGTTGGTGGCGTTTCTTCTCGAGGCAGCCAAAAAGCACGACGTGTATCGTTCTCGTAATAAATCCATGATTCATCTCCAGTAACCAGATCTGACAAAAACTCTTTACGTCGGGGTCGCAGCAAAAGTGACTGACAGATAGCGACACGGACTGCACGACTGGCGTCTGTAAGGATGTGCGGTACCCACCGAGCAAAAACTTTTCGATAACCAAGCTCATGCAGATGGTGTTCCACGGCGTGGTGACTGCATTTAAGTGCTTCCGCTAATTCACGAGTGGTAGCATCCGGATTCAACTGCAGTTCGCGGCGCAAATCGTCATCATTCATTGCGGGTGGTCGCCCTGAGCGTGGCTGACTTTCAAGACTCCTGTTTCCTGATTTAAAACGGTCAAACCATCGGGACACCGTCGCATGGCTTGTACTTCCAGCGCCTAATGCATTGTTGATATTGTCAGCCGCAGCCCGCGCACTGTGGCCTAACAAGTACTCGTATAAGTATAGTGTTCGAACTTGTCGCTCGTCCATTTTTCTTCAAACTGACTAAACAAATCGCGAGCGCGGCTTTATATACCCTACACCAGAAGTACCTAGAATGTTCTACAACATTCTAGAATATTATCGAAAAAATTGATTTTAAAAAGGAAATCCTGGAGAAAAGAGAGAATCTTGTCATTTAGCTCAGTCACGTTCTGGATCTCATATCGAAATGGGGTGCTGAAAATCTGGTTGAGTTCAATGCCAAGAAAACTCAGGTTTGCGTATTTACCGCCAAGACCCCTCCATTCCCTTCCCTTCCCTCTCTTCAGGGCACAACCTTGCCTCTACAGAGCAGCATCAACATGCTCGGAATGGAAGTGCGCTGTGATCTAAATCCCAAAAACCACATCGAGTCTGTTATTATACCAGCATCACGTAAACTCGGTGTCCTGAACAAGGTGCGGCGTTTTTTCACGCCCGAACAACTGTGCCTGCTATACAAAACGCAGGTCCGGTCATGCGTGGAGTATTGCTCGCACCTTTGGGTTGGCTCCGCTAGGTACTTACTCGATGCTTTGGATAGATTGCAGCGCCGCGCAGTACGCATTATTGGCAATGACGAAGTCACCAAGAACCTAGAAAGCCTGCAACTGCGCCGAGACGTTGCTTCGCTTAGCGTCTTCTACCGTCTCTACCATGGTGAATGCTCTGAAGAACTCTTTTATCTTATCCCCCATCTCCCTTCCTCCTCAGGACCACACGTGCTGGTTTGCGTTGCCACCAACTAACTGTGGCAACGATTCCTTCGCGTACAAAGAAATTAGACGACTCATTTCTTTGTCGAACTTCCAAAAAATGGAATTGTCTCCCGGCCCATGTATTCCCTCCTTCCTATGACATGGGGTCCTTCAAGCGGGGCGTGAAGAAGCACCTTGCAGGTCGGCAAGGTGAGGTTGGCTAGTGCAGTACCTACGTACTGTTTTCACCAGCTGTCCTCGCGTTTGGACTGCGCCTCCGCTTACCATCAGGTGGAGCGCAGTCATTTGCCCTCCATTTTATAAAAAAAAAAGTTATAGATTTTTCTAGTGTGTCTCATTACTTTTGTGCCAACCCAATACTTATAAATATAATCTATTTGAATTGTTTGGATAATGTTTTCATGTATAGACTTAGTATTCACTCACGAATTATTTTCTACTTCCAGGTTATAGACTTAGTATTTCACTAACTAATATTTGTTTTATTTCCAGGTCTGACTCCGAGTGTGAATCCATTGCTGTTCCGAACGTGATCGCGAAAAGCGCAAAGAAAAATCCAACAAATAAGCGTAAGAGCAACATCAGTTCGCAAAGGTAAAATCTATTTTTTGTTTGTTGTTATTAAGATGTTTTATTTCAGTACATTATATAAACAAACACTTACAGTTATTAAAACGAATCAGAACTAAAAAGCTATATACTAAGGTTTATGTTTAACATATTAGGTTTAAAGACATTTATTCTCATTAAGACATATGCGCCACTTACATGAGAACATAAATACAATAACAATTTACAACATACATTCGTTGTCGTACATATAATAACTAAGTTGTTAACATAAAAATAAAATGTTTTTAATAAAGAATACAATAACCCAGTTGAACAATCATAACACACATCCATTGCTATACATTTCACTTCACTAATGTTATGCATTGCATATGCATAATATTTTACTGTAGATTGTTCACTTATATGGGCATTTCTCTGTATGCTCGTAATTGGCTGTCCCGACCGACTTTTTTAATAAGTAACCTAATTATTCAAATAAAAAATATTCCTAATGAAACTTTAATCCTGAAACTTTACGGGCCCATTGTTTTAAGCACCATAACTATTAAAAAGTTATTAAGGCAACATATATTTTTTAGTAATTATCATAAAGGAAAAATATTATTATAGATTATCTTTATACAACAAGGTCTCATTACGAATTTTATTATTTAGTAAACACCTGCAAACTTTGTCCCCAGAATTTTCATACAGTCCCCTGCCAAAAATTTAAATCTATAGTAAAATAAAACTGTAATATTTAAAAACGTTTTTCTACGTGAAAAGAAACGCAATCGATGTGAAGTTAGTTACGATGCCGCAAGCGGTGACGAGACGCCATCTTGTCTAGTGTCGGAGTGACATTTGTGTGGTGAACACGCGTTTGGTCTGGTGCCACACACAGTCCCCCGGTAAGTGATAATATTATGTTAATAACTGTGATTATTTATATAACATAGTTTATTATTTTAATATTTATGTCTAAAGTGATCGGTAGGTTCTTAAACAAACTATTATACATCAGTTTTTAAAATATTGTGACATCTATTCGAAATACACAGTCCCTTGGCAACAGTCCTCTGTCAGAAAATATGGCAGGGGACTGTTTTATATAACAGGGGGACTGTGTAATTGGCGTATTGGTTATTGTTCGTATGTATTATTTGTATAAATTTATTCGCTAGTCTGTTTTATCAATAGGAATTATCAAAGTTTAATTTTTTTGCATTAGATTTCTTTATAACCTTATATTATTTTACACAGGCCGACTGAACACACATAATATGGCTCCTAGAAAGAAAAAGTTATCCCGAGAGGAATTACTACAGAAGAAGAGAGAAGCAGAACGACTACGATATGAAAAAAGAAAAAATGACCCCCAAAAGAGAGAAGAAATGAGAGAAAAGGAAAAGTTGAAGTACCAAAAGAAGAAAAAAAAGGTTTGCGAAAGTTAGTAAAGGATATGACACCTCGTGATCATAGAGCTGCCTTAAAGAAGTGGAAAGAACATTGTACCGTGTACCGAACCAAAAGGCTAAGACTGAAAAGTGTCACTAATACTTTTATACGAGACAATACGCCATTATCGGATCTAGAAGCTGGTACTCCGCCTACAAGACCCGCCACTCCAGTCCCAGAGCAATTTTCTTCAGCTCCAAGCCCAGCAACTTCCAGTGCTAGTCTACAACAAAGAAAAAAAGAAACCACAAGGCGACGTAAGAAGTTTAACAGGAAAAGAAATGAGAAGATTGCACATTTAGAGAAAAAGCTTGAGAAGTATAAGAAAAGGTTAGCTAGATTTAAAAGCAAAATGAAGAAGAACGTTGAAGATACACCTAAGACAAAGATATTAAAAATGTTAGAAGAGCCTGATCAAAAAAAAGAAGTAGTCAAGAAAGCGTTGTTTGGCGACGTCATTACTAAGCAGCTGCAACAAAATTATTCTACATTAAAACGTACAAAGGATAGACAAATCTTTAAAAAAGTTATTACTGGTAGTATTGTTCAAAAGTATAGGCAATGGATACCTAAAGAAATTAAACCGTTATCTATGCCTGGAAAAATATCCAATCTTAGTGGCTTAGATATACCTGTAGTGAAACGATGTAAAATACCTGAAAGTTATAAAAGAGCTGTTTACAATTTCTTTGAAGATGATATTAATAGTCGCATGGGAGCCGGTAAAAAAGAATTTATAACTAGGAAAGCTGTAAAGAAACAGAAGAGATATCTTCTTGACACAGTTTTAAATCTTTACAGAACGTTTATTACAGGGAACAACTTTAAAATTAGCTACCAAACATTTTGCTGACTCCGTCCATTTTGGGTTGTGAAACCAAACGCTCAAAACCGTGATACATGTCTTTGCATAGTTCACAGCAACATAGACATGAAGCTCAGTGCACTTTATACTGCTAACATATTGACTTACAACAACCACCAGAAGTTGCTGGAAGAGCTATGTTGCGACCGTTATAATGTGAATTGTTTGGCGAGATCCTGTCATAGTTGCCTTAATAATAGCTCGAAATATAAAGAATTTGATAACAGAAATGTCATAAAATATAAAATGTGGATTTCTGAACGGCAACAAATACAAGATTTTAAAACTAAAAAGCCCCGACTCGTGACTAAATGTTTAAAAAAAACATTTGAAGTACATCCAAGACAGCTTATAACACATTTGCAGAAAGATTTAGACAAATTTTTTGACTACCAGCGAAACATTGTTCATCAATATAAAGCCATGAATGATTTAAAGTCCAACCTACAAGGTGATGAGGTCCTAATAAACGTCGATTTCAGTGAGAAGTATTGCACTAAGTATGCTGAAGAAATTCAGGCTTTTCATTTTGGTGGATCTCGTGTACAGCTGAGTCTGCATACCGTAGTAGTTTACCTACGAAATTCCATCTTTTCTTTTTGCACAGTTTCCGAGAACATAACCCATTCACCTGCTGCCATTTGGACACATTTACGACCAATTTTAAATGCTCTTCCACGTGACATCAAACGAGTGCACTTCTTAAGCGATGGTCCTGTAACGCAGTATCGCAATAAAACTATGTCTTTTATAATCACAAAAAAACTCTCTGAAGAAATTCCTAATATTGAAAAGTTTACATGGAACTATACCGAAAGTGGCCATGGAAAAGGTGCACCGGATGGCATTGGAGCAACCTGTAAAAGGACAGCAGATTTTGTTGTTAATTCTGGAGGCGACATCAACAATATTGATCAGTTTGTTACAGTAATCCAGGAGCGATGTCTTGGCATCACGTGTATCGCAATCGATGGTAAAGAGATTCAGGCAATGGTCGATAAAGTTGAAGAGGAAGCGACTGATCAGAAAGGTTTTAAAGGTACTTTAAAGGTACATCAGGTCTCCGGTGTTTATTCCCGTTCCATCCTTGGCCTTTCGACTAAATGTAAAACACTTATAATGAAAAGTCTCAGCTGCTTTTGCAACCGCGGATCTTGTGAACATTATAAGATTGGCAGTATCAATTTTGGTTTAAAATCTAGATGGATAGTAGAAGAAGTGTTTACAGAGTCCGAAGCAGAAGATCTTGAACCTGCTAATTCTGAATTACTTAGGGCAAACAAATCCCCTCAAAGATTGGATTATTCTATACCAGGAACGAGTGGCATTCGGAATTAATTTTACAATACAGAAGATTATGTTCTTGTGAAATATACAACTAAAAATGGAGAGTATCGTTATGCTGCTGTAATTAATGAGATTGATGATGATGAAAACGACTTACGTGTTACTTTCCTCAAGATTTGTGACCAAAAAGCGCAGCTCTTTAGAAGAGATGATAATGACGTTTCAGACGTGTCATTTGATCAAGTTGTCCTAAAGTTGGATAATCCTGACTTGATTTTAAAGGGAAAGAGAACATTTTATAAGTTTCCTACTCAAGTAGACGTTTTCGAGCGCTAATGTTTTATAATGTTACATTGTCTGTGATTTTTAATGTGCCTTATTTGATTTAGTAATATTTAATAAAAATATTCGATTGGAGATCTCAAAATTAAATTTGAGAGAAAAATTAGTGCATAAAGCTGATTTAATGACTGATATTATAATAATAACACTGTTGATCTCAGAAAGTACAAAATGTTTCTAGGGCATAAATTTAATTTTTGATATGAATATTTAAATTATTGTAATTATAATTAATAATAATAAGTATTTAAATGCATAGCATTTAATAATTAATATTATAATAATAAGATCTCAGTAAGTACAAACTGTTTCTAGCACTTAATGTTTATTTTTTGGAATGAATGTTTAAAGAAAGTTATGTTTTTTGTTAATTTTTTATAAAAAAAACTTTCTTGATTACTGATGCCAAAATATATCATTAAAGTAACAAATGATTTATTAACGTAAAATTGCTTTTTTTTTCAAGTACAACAGTCCTCTGTCTCATTTAACAGTCCTATGTCACGTTCAAAACAGTCCCCTTATGCTCGAAACAGTCCCCCTGTCATGAGTTTTTGGAAAATCGTTAATAACTATAAAAATACGTATAATTTCAATGGGCCTCCTTACTTTACTAAAATAAAAATTTATTTTCTTTGAAATAGGACACGTTTTTTGGCAAATATTAAAAATAAATGCCAGGACATCACCTGTATGGAACCTGTACGAGCTTACAGAGAAATGCCCATATGTTTATGTTGTTAGCATAATGAAATACTGTGTTAATGTGTTCGAATTGTGGTAATACCTAATTACGTTTTTTCGTTACATTACTTTTTACAGATAACGAGAAGAATACCGGTTTATATATTATATTTTTATTAAACATTGATAAATATTAAAATTATTTTCAGAAGTACCAACAAGAAGCCAAAGGTGGTGGACATTTTCGGCCTATGTGACGGCGAGGAACACACCGAAGTGACAGAGGTGAAGTCTTCGAAGTTGTCGTCGGTTATAATAAACAAAGTTGCGAACGGTTCCCAACGTCGATACGCCTCTACAACCGGCGACCTCTATGTGGAACTGAAAGTGTACCACCGAGACGACGTTGAAACCAGTCTCCCAGACGAACGCTGGAAGAAGGCTCTGCTGCGATTGAACTGTTTACTGGAAAACGACTCGACGCAGTGGAAACACTTACAGCGATTTGTAAAAGAAACGAACCTCTTATTTGAGGACGCGAATCCTGTTTTTTATACTGATAAATTAGAGATTAAGCGTAGCGTAAAATAAATTAAAACAATAAATTATATTGTATTGTTAATCTTCTTCTAAAGGTGCCTCTCCAACTAGTGAAGGTTAGCGATTAGCATGTTCAGGTCCTTCTTGTCTTTAGCTCGGCGGAACAGCTCAGCAGCTCAGCAGCGCAGCGCAGAGAACCATGGTAAGTATCTCCTTGCGAGCTCATGGTAAGATAACGCTCCAAACATCGCCTAAACTGTTCAGTTGGAAGCACCATGGTAAATCACTCCCTGCGAGCCTGTGGTAAGATCACGCACTGAACAGATTCCTAACTAGTGTTGGCTGAGAGAACCATGGTAAGTATCTCCCTGCGAGCCCATTATTATTATTATTTATTGCTGTAAGGGGCTATGCAGTTCCCTGAGGAACTGTAGTCACTGCGACCTTGAAGATCTATTGTGACTCGCCGCCAGATCTATACTAACTCCTTTAGCCCGGTAGACTTCAAAAAGTCTAGTATATTCCTGGCTTTTAGAGATTTTATATCTTCTGGGCTGATTATATGTCGTCCCAGATGTATGCTTCGTTTGTGGATTAGTGGTCCACATTCACACAGAAGATGTTTTGGTGTTTCACGTTCCTGTTTGCAACACTGTTCGATGTCGAGAATTCTGTCAAGGTGTTTTGAGGCAATAACTCTTTTATTCTCATAACGAGATATCAAAATATTTAAAGCTACCGAATAGTTCTCGTCTGTAATAGGGATAGATTTAATTAAATTGTGGGGTTCGTTGTGTACCGTAAGTAATAAGTAGCGGAATTTTTCTGCCTCTGTGTAGGCACTGTTTAAATGGACTAATGGTCGAAACAAATCGAAATAGGAAGGCCAACCCGTAGGATCGCCGCTGAAATTAGGCAAAGGCAAAGTTGGTAAATTCTTATTATAATTAGATGACTGAACTAAAGACGTTATTAACGGACGACTCATACGTCGTTGCTCTTCAACCACCCTCTTTAAATTATTTAAATTAGTCATAATAGCGTAGTACAAATCATTGAAATCGTTGCGTATCTTAATCTGTTCCTCTTTGTTAAAAGACCTTAACTTGATTAACGTTTTTTCAATTTTAGTTTGAACTTTATTGAATTTACATTGGTGAGAATTTAAATCAGTAGTTCGTGAGCGAAACTGTTGGACATCTGTCGCTGCGAACTGTAATGTTCGTTTTAAATCATCGAGAATAAGATCTCGTTCGAATAAATCTTGTTCACACGGCGATTCATCATCAGACATTTTGCGTAACAAAGATGACTGCTTCGAATTCGCTGCGTCACTATCCATGATAATAAGTACGTAATACTGTTTAGAGACAACACAACTGAAAGATAGCAATCCGGTTCGAACGGATCAAAAGAAATTATGTACAATATTAAGTAGGGGTTGGCGACTCACCGCAAGCGATCCTTTACCGCCACGGATTCCGAGGGCTGGGTTCTGGAACGGGGTGCGTCGACGCGGTTACCAGCGAAGATATCATACACGATATATAGTCCATAGGCACTGATCCACCGTTCTTCCGAAATGTGCTTATTCTCGATAACAAACAATTCACCAAGCTCAATCAAAATTAGGTGCGCGCAGTTAGCAATTTGAATTCACAGTAAAAACCGTCACCCAAGGATTAAGGGTGGGGATTTGGAACGAAGACAGCTAATCGCCTTGCCCATAGACAATAAAAAATTTACCCACAGTTGTGTTGTCTTTGTATAGCTAATTATCAATCATCTGTTTCGTTACGGAACAAGTGTATTATTTTAAATTAAAACCTTACTATTATTTTGCATATCTGTACCATTCTCGACTCAATGGTGACTAGGAAATTTCGTAAGCATCCATTGATGCCACTACGACAACTTTAATCTTAAAAATTTTGAAAATGTCAAATTGATTAAATAAAACAAAGAAAATATATTTTAGGGTTTATATTTCAAAATAATATAAAATATAAAACTAACTACTACTAAATCTAATTATTCACTTAAAAATTATTGTCACATATTTTCTTACTTATATTTCTAATTAATTGTTCCGTTTGTTCCATAATTGGATCATAATGATCAGCCACTACATACTG